TTCCATAATTTGTTCCATAATCTCTTTTAGGTGTCTACCTTCACGTCCTCGCGGATACCTTAGGCAGCGTTGGCGTAATCATAAGTTCCTACTTTGTCACGAACTATGGCTGGAATGTTGCTGATCCTATCTGCTCCCTTTTCATCTCCGGTGCCATTTTATATTCTGCTCTACCTCTGGTCGTTGATACAATCTACGTGCTTGCCCTCCGTGCTCCCAACAGCTTCCATCCGGCCCATCCAGATCGCGTTATACAAAAGGTACATTTACCAACATTAGCGGTTAACATTGAAACCTTAACCCACCTCCCTCCGTGGATATTGTTATTTGGTAGGGGTGCCTTTTTCGGTCTACTAAAGGTGCTCAGTAGCCCAATTTATATATATTTTATTTGTCGCGCTCTATGCTTTGCAGTGTAAGCAAACTCACACGCTCCTGTATGCCATTAAGAAGAAATCGTATAGTTTTCATAAAAATTTACAATAGATGTAAACTGTGTTACGTACTTCATCAGGGGCATTAATGAAGGGGTAAATACAGTGCTATTAGAATGGATAGTTTACGTTCTTAAAAATGTTCAGAATTAGAAATGTTTGAAGACCCAAATCTACCCTTCCTTTGAATATAAGCATGAGGAAAGGAAACAAAGACTTGACTATCAAATGAGTGCATAGTAATATTTTGGGCATGTTTTCCATAAAATATATTGGGGCATCGAAAGTCAATAGAAAGATAAATACCATCTAAGTGGTACTTTTTTAACGGATTTGGTTTTTGCTGGCGGTTGAGAAGAAGTGCATCCGAAAACCGGTGTCCTGACCCTACCGACGTGTCTTGGGACTATGCCGCAATCCTTCCTAATCTTTTCTACTTGAAAACACATTTCAGAATTTCGATGTAAATTTTATGGGCTCGGTCCTTTGCTAGATGTGCGTTACGTCTGACCTGTATAGTTACAAGAACACTTTAGGTACGGGATGTGGTACACTAATAAAGCCTGCTCCTTGGGATTTAGTTGGTCTTTGAATTTCAATACTGTGCTGTGAATGCTAGCGTTGAGTCGGCCTGCAATTCTAATACGTAGTCCCGCAGCCTTATCTCGGCCGCTTGTTAGATGCCCTTAATGTATAGTAGCGTGTGTCATATTCTTGGTGGGGTTTCTTTTTGGGTCCTCCGACGCGGAACACGTAGACATCGTCATATAAATGTCTTCGGATGGCCATTCCACATAGATTATTCGCCAAGATATTGGCCCTCGCGCTCATTGTAATCCGACCAGCGGTAATGATTCTGCGTCCGTTTTAAAGTATTCTCTTCGTATGCCTTTTGCGCCAAATCTGGAAGGATGGCTGTGGATAACGATGTTCCATAGGAATACAACATTATATCTCCTGATAGTATCGTCTGAGCTCGGAACTCTACGGGAACTTGGAAGGCTGGTCGAGCAGAGGTAGTCGAATTGCCTTGGAAGAACATCAGCTTCGAGTATATTCACCTTGCCAAATCATAGGTCAGGCTGCCTTTAGGCCAACAAATGGCCGCAGTGAAGCATTGGGTTTATGGATTTCTGGCAGACCATAGAGCTATCTGTTGCTTTCAGTTCGTGCCACTTGTTCTCCATGATCATAATTTTACGCCGATATTCTCTAAGTAGTTGATCCACCTTGTGAGTTCTGTGTTGGCTTATAAAATGCTATGCCATCATGAAGGGCTCCGGCTTTTAACGTAAGTCTTTTCGCTTTATCACGTCAGCCCTTACTTCCTTATCGGCGAGCAGAATGGTAATTTCGTCGTCTTTCGTCAGTTCCTTCATAGCTCTTAACTTATTTTGCGAAATAAATCGAGTTGGTCTCTGTGTGTTGTCAGCAAGGAGGTAATACATTGTCAGGCAGTTGTTTCTGGTCGGCGGTTGTTTTGTTGCTGCTACTATCCTCCATCCCTGCACGAATTGGAATGCCCAAAATAATTTTTAAAAATGTTCCGTTGTTCGACCAGTCTTTCTGACGTTTTAAGAAGCTCCAGTGCGGCCCCTGGCATAGCTAATTAATCAAGATTGTGCATCGGAGACTGTCTTAAGCTGTCTTGATTTCCCTTTTATTTTAAACTTTAGGTCCTAAGGTTAGATTCTGTCCTGGAAGTGCTCAACCCCTGCATTTGGAAGAGTACGGAGGATACAATTTGCTGCTCCCTGCGTGTCCGTCTGGCTGGCGACGCCAGTGAACAACTTGTTTTGGCGCAGGTACGTGACCCCCACCTGTACACAACGTGGTGTACCTTAGCCTGTTATCTGAACGCCGTGTGTTAATTAAGAAGAATTATCATCATTCGCTTATTCATGCGCCCTAGTTGTAATTTTGTCCGATAAAAGGATGGCTAGTTTCCGATTTATCGACTCTTCTTCCAAGGGTCGGATGACTGACCGACTGTAAATGTTAAAAGACGCCTGGGTAACTCACGCCAACCCTTACTTGAATTTTCAGTCTGGCTTTTCGAGGAGGCACGCTGTGTGTAGTATTTTGCCAAGGTGGGCTTTTCAGTTATACCGAGTCCTCTTCCCTTGTCTACTGACACCACCCTCCAAACGCCGCTACTAGCGGCCTTTCCTGTTGATACCCTCCTTCCAGTTTCTCCTGTTAGATGTATTTATTAGGAAGTATAGTTAGTCTTGAGTACTCTCATTCTGGCCTCAAGGTAGACCCGAACCTTGATTACATTTTAAATTCTATCTCTGAAAGCGATTCTACCACTTCTTTTGAATGACATGATACTTCTAGACCCTCCAGTAACCAATGGGATCCAAGTGACCCACAAATCTTTTCACGAAATTTGATTGTGGAGAATCTTTTAGGATTAGGAACAGCCCACACTCCACTCCCCTCTCAAAATGACCTATACACTGTAAATGTCATCACATTCTGAGGGTAGCTAACCTATACCTCGGTTTACTGGCGTCTGCGCCTAATTAAAGTGTCGCAATGTTTAGTAGCGGAGCTTGCTGATGCTTGTACGATCTGCGAACGCATACTCTTTTAGTTTAGTGTCAGATTTACTAAAGATAAAAGTAAATTGCCTCTGAACTTCAAGCATTGATAAAGCCTTGTGAAATCCTGTCATTCCTTTTTCGGCGCGGTTTGAATTACCCATAGGTCTGCAAACACGTGCGCAATGTACTCGAACTGAGAGGTCCTTGGGCGCAATTCGTTCGGTAGAGCCTTATGCACTGACCGTTAACGAAGTACTTTGTTTCTATGTGAGAATTTTGATTGCTGATACGTAGGGACTCTTCCATCAGGTAGGACTTTCATTGCTTAAGCCGTCATGCTATGGAAGACGACCAACTGAGATTGCTAATGTAAAAACATCGACGTTAATTCTGGAGTTGATGGCAATTATTAAAGTAGTACGCTTTGCCTTATCCCCCCTCCCTCTTTCTCTTCATTATTACAGATTAAAGAAGCCCTCAGGCATGCACGTATCAGCCATATGACAGTCCAGCTAGAAAAGGATACTTTCTCGCAGCATATGGAGGCCTTTGGGCTGACTATTGATTCTTTGAGCCGATATCGTCGCCCCTGTTCGGTGAAAAATTCACACGACCACACCAACGACACAAGTAACTGCTCCTCAGCTCGGAACACAACATGGACCACGATCTCCTTTTAGCTCTCTTCATACTGACCAAGGCACACCCTTTATGTGTCTGAACATCCGCCCTCTACTGCTTCTTTCATATTTTTCTTCATTCACTTCCCGGCTGTCCTTGGAACTGGATGAAAATCAGGCAATATTTGTGCTCTAAAAATAGTAACTAGGCTGATGCTTGTACGCAAATGCCCTCATAAAAATATATGAAACGTGGGGAAAAAAAACCAATATACAATAAAGGCAGTCTTGAGCGTCGCAGTTGATGCTTTTCGTTTTAAGGGACGAGGATGCATAGGGAAGTATAAAATTTTTGGATCCCGAAGCGTCGCTAAAGCCTTTACGGGTGTCCACAACCATCTCCTTGTTGTTGAAGCTGCAGCCAACGTCCGAAACTGAGGTTTGTAGACCTGGGGGTTTTGGTTTATGTAAAATTTTAGGTTCGCCAAACTTCATCGGGGTCGACAACAGTTTGGCTGCGCTCATACCTTCCGGGTATGACTCGTTCCCTCGCCTGAAAAGAAAATGAGAAGAAGTACTATGTCTTAACTGTGCGCAACAAGTTGTAAGCCCTAGCTCTGTCTCACTACTCAACTGGCACATTTCCATGCCGCAGCATGTCCGGCCTCATACAGTGCGCTCTTCGAGATAGTTTTAAATTTATAAAATTCGGACAATTGCAAGCTGTCGGGCATTTGACTTATGGGTTCTCCACCGCTCGTGTATGCACCCCACTCGTTGTAAGTTCCGTCTGGCGTACACCGTCGCCTGAAAGCCAGCCTGTGGTTTTCTCCCGCGGTACTCTATCAACCACCGCTGTCTCCCGTCTTCCTGTACTTGAAGGAACTTGACGGTGTTTTTTTGGCACGCCTACCATCTTAACCACCACGGGGTCGTGAGTGTCTGTAGCCAACCAAATTCTCGAAGGCGTTTCTAAGACAGTTATCCAGCGCCCCCATCCGCCGTTCCATTCATTTGCGGCAAATCAATTGCCGTACCTCTAAATCGTTATTCCTCGCTCTCCGCTGCGAACTATTGTTTTGGATCCACCTGTGCGCTACTCGTAGAGCGGACATGATTACGAATAGTCCACGCCTCCCCTTCTTGTATTCTCGTCACGAGGCTACCAAATCTATAGAAAGTCTACTACAGTTCGCTCATGTGTCCTGTTCCCAACGGGAGTTCAAAGTAGCTGGGTACGCATGCGCACGCAGCACTACAATGGCATCTGCGCTCGCTTTGTACATCGTCTTGGTAGGAGGTTGTCTACTGCATTGTGTTCGCTGAGCTCTCTTTTGGAAATGCCGATTTCGAGCATATGAGTTCCAGTCCCGTGAGGGCAACAGATGCCGGAAGTAACAGTCCAACCGTCGGTACCAGCGATTTACACGTGCGCCTCGCATCAGGGCGCGTGAATCAGTTTATGGTTATAATAGACCTGAACACAGTTACCGCATTCTCCCTTCCGTCACTCGCTCACCCGGACCCGCTGGACGGAGTCGATAAGACTGCGGGCGGGCGCATTCGCATGCCATGTTCGCGCACGACAGACCATAATTCCACATTCAACAAAAATGGCGGCTTGCATCCCAACGAAGTGGGCTGTACTGAGGAGGAATTAGACTGACTCCCTCCTGATAGGAGAACAAATGTAATCTCTCCAGTGACATCCTTCCAAGCAAGTTCGGTTCGACGGTGGCATTTGACGAGTTCTGCAGTGATAGCTTTAAGCGTATCGGCTTAGTTATTGTGAGGAATGTACGCTGAGCCAGTGAGCTGTTTTTCTTGGGGATTGGACGCAGATAACTGAAAAGGTCAAATAACCGCCTGCGTGTGCCACATACGACCTGTTCCCCTATAAAACAGCAGGTTTGCAGATTAAAAGGATGGGTTGTTCGGTGCCCACCTGTGTTTGAATGTAATAGTGGCCACCGAAACAGGTAAATAAAACGCTTCTGTTTGAAACGAAAGTTACTAGTGTGCCCATTATGCATTAGAATAAACTTCTCCATATACAATTACACTCATAATTTTAAACTGATGTAAATTGATAGATTTACCGTGTTTCTCCTCCGCAAGGAAACCGTTCTCTTAACCGTGGGGAGATCTTCCGAAGTCATCATCCATTCGTGTTTTAGGCAACTTTCCACCGTGGGCCGCTCACTAAAATGTACGAGTTAATAGAGTAAACTTGTCACATCATGGTTAGATGTTCTGAACACCATTTTTTTTCAAAGAGCATTTCGAGGAACAGTTTTTTAGTGTTTGGGGAGTTTGGTAGGTCTACCTTTGAAGGGGTTTTGGCAGATTTCACCTATTTGCAAGATTGACCAAGATACTTATGCGAGCTTTGAAGCAAGGGTGTACTAAATCTGAATGACAGGAATGTAAATTACAGGACATCTAACTTGGTCGACTACAACAAAGCCTAAAGGAAGTCAGGTGTATTCAAAGTGGCACTGACAACGCGTGTATAAATTAGGTTCTATATAGAAATGCAAGGGATAATGAACTTTAAGATTTCCGCTGTCGAACTTCGATACATTACTGGAATATATTCCCGTAGTTTGACTTTCATAGACACGCTCAGGAATCTCGTCAGCTGTGTAATATTATTTGCCGTATTTCGTTTTGAACACAATTGACGTCAGGGAATGGTTATGCCAAGCATAGGGGAATAAGTATACATCGATTTCGCGGCCGCCTGAAACAGACAAGCTACGAACAGACGAAGGATTTCGCTAAAGAAGAATGCCCAGTGGAGAGTCATCTATGCATTTTTATGAAGGGCCTATAACCCCTCTTGTAAACCCCGCCTGTGTATCCTCCGTGCGTACGTGCGACTATTATATTTCGGGTCTCTGGATGCCTTAAAGATTTCTTTAATGAAGTCAGACTAAGCCCAAGGCTCTACTGCATCAAAAATAGCTCGGGTTTGCGAAGGTGAGCATTCCGAGATGGTAATTGGAAGAACTGAAGTCGCTAACCGTAACAGATTTGTATTGTTGTTGACATTTCGAAGAGCTTGGACAGCTCTCTATTCTCAAAACGTTTTATGTCGAAACCTGATCAGAACTGTAATTGACTGGCGGAACTAGTTGACATTCGACTGATCGACATTTTTTTAGCTGGCAATCTGTAATGCCCGCGACCGTCAAGTCCTACAAGCATTCGTAAAAATACCGAGACAACGAGAAAATATCGATCAGATACAGGCAGACAAGTTCGGCCAGTTGACTGTATTTCTCATCGATTTTCGGTATAACACGCCTTGAGACAGGGATAATGCTCAAGCTTTTTGAAACAGTGGTAGAAATCCGTTCCGATGATTTACTTAAGTCTGTCAAAGTACTGCATCAATCTATTCATATCTTGAAAAGTCGATTTGGCAAACAAATGTTTTCAGCAAATCTGCATCAGGCCAGTACATTTGCAGGGATAATGAACAAGGTCAATAAGGCGATACTATTACTGGCAAAGACAAGGAGACTGGAATGGCCATTTCTGGCGTCTCACCCGAGCCTCGAACACGCGACCTCTTTTGATCAGAGTCCCGGGTGGGGCTCCGCTTAGGTCTGGGTATGACTGGCTGATGACGGCTAATAAGCCAGAAATGTCCATTCGAGTCTCCTTTGTCTTTGCCAGTAATACTATCTGCCTACATCATCACCTGCTACGGCTGTCAGGGCCTCTGCCGAGACCGCAGGCCTAGAGGGACAGACGAGTTCCGTTAGCGGTCGGGTGAACGTTCATCAATGAAGGCTAATACGTGCATTTTGATTACAGCTCATCGTTTTCACGTCGCACGCAGGGTGAGATCGACGTGTAGAGGTCCTTGTGCTGGGGGAGGGGGAAAACCACTGTCACTAGGGCGTGGGGGCGATGTGCGATCGCCACCTGGGTCGTGGCCGTCTTACAAGGCCAGGTGACAACTGCGTGAGCCGCGAGCTGCTCGAGTCATGGTTCTCAGGCCCCTAGTCTATCAACAAGCACAACGATTTGGCGTTCCCATACGGTGTACTGAGACATTGCCTGAGCAAGAGA